TAATTACCCAACAAAAGGCTGCAGTTAGAATGATAACAAATTCTCACTACAGGCAGCACACTCCACCAATATTCAATACACTAAACCTACTCACCATACAAAACATCCATACTTATTACTGCACCTATTACATACATAGAACACTTAACTCTGATATTAACCCTCCCCTCAAACATCTCCTTGCCAACCTCAACAGAACACATGACCATAACACAAGGCACAGATCACTCTTTGATGTTCCTCGTGTTCATCTCACACTATGCAAAAACTCAATGCACATAAAAGGCCCTAAAATCTGGAATTCATTACCTGTAAATATAAAAGAAACACTACCTGTTTATAAATTCAAGTCTCTACTCAAAGATCACTTACTCACCCAAAACCAAATAAATACTGAATAACTGAACCTTATAAATTGTATATCTTAAATGTTTCTCACAATTATATCACATAAATGTTAAACCTAAAACCCAATCTAACTTTATTATTTTTTAAATACACTACCTAACAGAATCCTTCATATGACCTGTCTTTGTAATACTCACTTGTGCTTTATAGTAATCTGTTTACATTAATGTTTTATCACTGACTTCATCATTGCTTAATTAATCTTAAGTTAATTTTAAGCCAGCCCGTAATGCTATGCATAGTATAAGTGGCTTTGGCATACTGCTCTTATCTGTATTTTTTTGTACCTCTGTATGTGTGCACAAATTTATAATAAATAAATAAATAAATAAATAAATAAATAAATGAACCCATTCTAAAACCTGCAGCTGTGATTGATTACACCTTCAATATGCGTTCAGTGTTCAAATGTGACATGCAGATTGGGTTTGCTGATTGTGTTCGCAAGAGTTAAAAGTGGTACATAAAACTCTTTTTCCATCTTCTGGACATTTCCATGCTGAATGCTTATAATATGTATAATATGAGGACCAGAAACAAACCACCATACGGCGAATTCTGTTTGTCTGTCATCAGACAAATAATATTCAAGTACCAAGGAACAACACCTGCAATAGACCACCCACCAAATTTTCAACAACTTCCTTCTCGTTTGAAGCATGGTGATCACTTCCTGGTAAAACTGCCTGCTACTGCTTTCAAGAAAAAGGCTCAGAAGAGGTGTTACGTCTGTGCACATACAAGAAAATGCCCACAACAATGCAGAGACACTCATTTTATGTATGAGGAATGTAAAACACCACTGTGCATGACACCATGTTTCAAAGACTTCCACAAGCTGCAGAACTTCTAGAAACATTCCCTATGACTGTATATGTGTATATAAAATATAGAAAAATAGTAATAAACAACATTTCATATCATTTGTTTGTGTAAATATTTTCTGTAAACAAAACAATGACAACAGTGTTTACGCCGTTATTGTGTAGTATTGAAAAAGAAATAACTTACAAAATACTGATCATATTGGTCTCACAGGCCATAAAAGTACGTACTTGGAAAAAGAAAAATTAAAAAATAATAGAAAATCGTACATAAAAAAAAGTAAATAAAAGAATACCGGGTGACAGCAGTCGGCGATGTTACCAGATGTTATTCACTTTTTGCAAACTTCACGCCTCCATATCTTGGTAAGTATTGATGGTAAAAAATTTTTGTTTAGCCTATAATGTTTAGGAAAAAAAAACTATTTTTTCATAAGGAAAAATAATTTTTTTTTTTTGAAATTTGGCCGACCCTGAGAACAAGTCTCTGAGTGGACCTGCCGACCCCCAAAGGGTTAAAAGACAAAGAAGGGAAGTAACCCCAGATAGGGCTTTGATACCTGAAGTCTTTATGGAGGGAATTCCCCATTCCAAACAATAACCTCTCCTCCTCCCTCTCCCCTCCTCCCTGTCTTCCAAGAGTCTTCAATACATGTATGTAATAATGATTTAAATGTTCATTTATATGTAATTGTCATTGTTTTGTGTATGTAAAACTATAGTTAAACTTTACAAAATGTATTTTTTTTGTTAATTATGGGTGTATGGAATGGATTAATTGTATTTACATTAATTCTTATGGGAAATATTGCTTCAAATTTAGGCCTTTTTGGATTTAGGCCGACCTTCTGGAACGGATTATGGCTGATATTCAGGGTTGATATTCAGTGGGTTTTCTTCTATTTATCTTACTAGTTCTTGTTCATTTCCACTTATCTTCATGGGGAAGTGGGATAGAATTCTTCCTCCTTAAGCTGTGCATGCCATAAGAGGCGACTAAAATGCCGGGAGCAAGGGGGTAGTAACCCCTTCTCCTGTATACATTACTAAATGTAAAAGGAGAAACTCTCATTTTTCCTTTTGGGCCACCCCGCCTCGGTGGGATACGGCCGGTGTGTTGAAAGAAAGAAAGAAGATGTAAACCACACATTGTAAGCTTTGCAAGGAAATAAACATTTTCATTTTCATTTTAATTTTCATGGGTTATGAATGTTGTAGCAAGGAGGGGGCTGGAGGCAGTAGAGATGTTGTCTCTGAGGGCAATGTATGGTATAAATATTGTGTAGAGAATTCATAATTTGGAAATTAGAAAAATGTGCAGGGTTACTAAAATTATTATCCAGAGGACTGAAGAGAGGTTGTTGAGGTGGTTTAGAGATTTAAAAAGGATAGAGCAAAATAGGATAACTTGCAGGGCATGTAAATCTGTAGTGGAGGGAAAGTGGGAAAGTGGAACCTTGGGAAAAGTTGGTGGGAGGGGGTAAAGAAGACTTTGTATGCAAGGGGCTTGGCCATCCAGCAGGGGTGGGGTGGGTGGGTGGGTGGGTGGGTGGGTGGGTGTGTGGGTGTGTGGGTGGGTGGGTGTGTGGGTGTGTGGGTGTGTGGGTGTGTGGGTGTGTGGGTGTGTGGGTGTGTGTGTGTGCGTGTGTGCGTGTGTGCGTGTGTGTGTGCATGCACGTGCGTGCGTGTGTGCACACGCTAAGTAAGAGATAATGGAGGCAAGTGTTTTTTATGACTTGACATACTGTTGGAGTGTGACAAGGTAACATTTATGAAGGGTTTTAAGGAAACTGGTTAACCAGACTTGAGTCCTGGAGGTGGGAAGTACAGTGACTCCACTCTGAAAGAGGGTTGAGGATATTTGCAGTTTGTAGGGGTATCTGAGCTGTAGTATCAGTGCAGCTCTAGCAAGACAGTGATTGAATGAATGGTGGTGAGTGGTGTTCTTTTTCAGGTATCCTAACATTAGTGGGAGATGGCTGTGTGTTAAAAAACAAATTATTTAGTGGTGGCTACAGTGAGAGTAAGAGGTAGATGGGGTACAAGGAAAATACCATCAGTGAATAAGAGAGAAGAGAAAGTTATAAATTAAGGGAGAAGATAGCTAGGGTAAAGTATAAGCAACTGTTGGGAGACAGTATTGGTAATGTGGAGGTTAAAGAGGCATGGGTAGATTTAAGAATGCAATGTTAGTGTACACCAGAGGTTTGTTGATTTAGGAGGGTGGATGTAGGAGGGAAGAGGAGTGATTGGCATGATCACAGGGTAGAGAGAGTGGTAAGGGAGAAAAAGTTGGCATTTGAAAAGTTTTTACAGTGTAAAGTGATATTTAGTGGTAGGAGTATACAGTGGTTAAAAGAGTGGTGAGGGAGTATAATAGGAGAGTTATTATACTCACAAATTTTGCTTAGAAAAAGAGAAAGTTTTTGGAGTAAGGTAAGTTAAGAAAGCTTAGGGAACAATTGAAATTAACAGTTGAAAACAAAAGAGGGAAGCCATTAGATGGGGAAGTGGAGGTACTGGAAAGTAGGGGAGAACATTTTTAGGAATTGTTGAATGCTGATGAAGAGAGGGAGGCAGTGATGTCTTGCATTGGACAGAGTGAGAAAGAACTAGATATGAGTCTGCAGGAGGTGCTTGTAGCAGTGGGTAGATTGAAAGGGGGTAAAGCAGCTGGGGTATTGAACACAGGAAAGAACAAGGTGGTGAGTTTATCAAGAAATATAGGTAATGAGAGACTGGATATTAGATTGGAGGGGTGGAGTATAGAGGAGGCAAATATATTCAAATATTTGAATACATTTACCAGAATACATGTACCAGAGTATAGTGGTACAGGTACAACATTGATTCTCCGGACACTGATGGTCCGGAAACTCTTATAATCCATACAAATTTACGAGCAGGAACTTGAAATTCCCGCGGCAGTGCATTTGCCACCCAACTGTATGTCACTTATCCAACCCCCAAGACCAAAGTATACTGCGCTCTCTAAAGGCGGACAACTCAATAATCCGTAAAGGCTTTGGAACCAAAAGGTCTGGAAAATTGGTGTTGTACCTATACCAACACTGTTGTATGGGTTGTCGAGCATGGAGTTTTAATGTTTCAGAGAGGAGGAGTTTGCTGGAGGCAGTAGAGATGTCATGTCTCAGGGTAATGTATGGTGTGACTATTATGCAGAGTATTTGGAGTTTGGAGATTAGGAGTAGGTGTAGAGGTAAAAAAAAAAAGAATTGTTCAGAGGGCTGAGGAGGGTTTGTTGGGGTGGTTTGGACATTTAGAGAGGCTAGAGAAAAATTGGATGACTAGGAGGGCATATAAATCTAGGGGTGAAAGGAAGGAGCGGTAGGGTTTGTCCTCAGAAAGGTTGGAGGGAGGGGATAAAAGTGGTTTTAGTGCTTGGGGCTTGGACTTCCAATATATTTTGATAAGAATGAGTGGAGGCAAGTGATTTTCATGATTTGGCTTTCTGTTGGAGTGTGAGCAAGGTAACATGAAGGGATTCAGGAAAACCAGTTACTTTAATCCTGGAGGTGGGAATTACAGTGCCTGTACTCTTAAGGAAGGTAGGGTGGAGATGTTGCACTTTGGAGGGTCATTGGAATTGGGATGTTAGCACACTTATAGCAAATCATCTATTGAATGAGTGATGTTGAATGTGTTTCCTTTTTTTCCATGTTTGTCTGCCTCAGTCTGAGATGGTTGGTATTAAAAGAAAAAGAAAAGAGTACATATTTGGTTATAAAAGTGATTTTTTTATTGCAGGATAAGGAAGTTCCAGATGCTGTTCAAGATGTTATAGATGAAGAATTAAATAAATTAGGATTCCTAGATAACCACTCCTCAGAGTTCAATGTAACAAGAAATTACCTGGACTGGCTGACAATGTTACCTTGGGGTATAACCTCCAAAGAAAATCTTGACCTAAAAAAAGCCCGTGAAATCTTAGATGAAGATCACTATGGGATGGAAGATGTCAAAAAGAGAATTTTAGGTAAAGTATCAGCTTGTTTTAAGTAATATGAAGAGAAAGTAGATTTAAACCTAAAATTTGTGGATAAGTCAATAGTATTTACTCTTTGACAATACTTGGAGCTGTATTATAACATTAATGAAGTAGTGTACTAGTAGTTTGCCTTGTTATCAAGTGCTGTATAGGTTATTTCTAGTATTTTTATTATGGCATTATATGTGATTGGTGATAAGTACTGCACAAGGCATTATGTGTTGTTGCCAGTAAGAAAGTTTGGGTCTGAAGGATGTCACTTGCTAGCTGGCTTCCAGTTGCAGAAAAGAAGTCAATGAGTTTAGAAGTAGTTTCAGTGGTATATAAGGTATCTGGATTATCTTCAGATTGCTTCTTGGTGTAGGTTTTATTTGTTACTAGAATTTGAGAAGGGCTTTGCTAGTACTATACTTTTTATGTTGTTTAGTTTCATTTAATCTGTTTGAATAATATATCTGTTTGGATCTTCTAATTAGGCTAGTAAGTGTTGTTGAGTATCCGTATTTAATTTTGTAATAACGTTTTTTACCAATAGAAGCGAATGCTCGGTTGTTGGCAAGAGGTGTGGGGTTTTAAAAGATAAATAATCTAACACCAAGTGGGAGTTGTCACAGTTGCTCTTTGCTGATGACACTGTGCTTTTGGGAGATTCTGAAGAGAAGTTGCAGAGGTTGGTGGATGAGTTTGGTAAGATATGTAAAAGAAGAAAATTAACCATTTGGGGGTCACCAGGCCCTCTCAGAGACTTGTTCTCAGGGTCGCCAGAATTTCAAAAAAAAAAAAATTATTTTTTTCTTATGAAAAGATAGAGAATATTTTCCCGATCATAATGACACCAAAAGTATGAAATTTGATGGAAAACTTACGGAATTATGCTCTTGCGAAGTTAGTGGTCTCGACAATGTTTACGCATCGGCGATTTTGCCCACTTTGAGCCCTATTTTCGGCCAATTCCAGTGTACTAGTCGACAAAAATCATAACTATTTCGCTAGAACTCCGTTTTTTCTATTGAATGAGTACAAAAAACCACCCATTTACCGATTTCAACTATCCAGTAAAGTGGTCGGAATTTAGCAATTTTGCCAGTTTCACACAAATTTCAAAAGATGCCAATTTCCAAATAGGGTTCAGAATAAACAAGAAAGACATTCCTGGCACTAAAATAACATTTCCTCTGTTCATTAGTCATGTCCCCACTCCCCTCTTGCATTCTTTTGCTTTCCACTTTGATTTTTTATTCTCACAAAAAAATAAGATTTACTGTTATGCAGACTACTGCATTAGTGTAGAAATGGTATAAATAATATCGGCGCACTTGTGAAAGAATATTAGACTCACCAGTTGACGTGTATTGGACGCTTAGCATGATTTGTTTACTTTTGAACTTGGGTAAAAATCGAACATTTCTGCTACTTTGAGCTCAATTTCAAGGTACTTTTCATTGTAAAACCAGTCAAAATCATATTAATTTCTGTAATATGTCTTCCATTCTATAAAATGAGACCAAGAAAACTAGAATACAACAATAAATACCATACAAAAATACAGTGCAAAGTCGCTGTTTTAATCCAAAAACACGGTCAAAGTTTTTTTTTCTCATTGCGCACTGTGTGCTGCAGGATTTTTTTTATACTGCGCACACTGACCACATTGACCCATTCTTTCATTATGTAGGCCTACCAGCTTTCTCTTGCTAGATTTGAGGGCGCTAGAATTTATGCGTACTAGTACGTCAAAAACCCTGGTGCGTAAGCCGTACTAGTGCAACCGAAACCCCCAAAGGGTTAAAAGTGAATATAGGAAAGAGTAAGATGATGAGGATAAAAAAAATAGTTGATGAAGAATTGGATATATTGGAGGGAGAGAGTATGGAGGTGAATTTATTTTTTTTTTTTTATTAAGACATCGGCCGATTCCCACCAAGGCAGGGTGGCCCAAGAAAGAAAAACTTTCATCATCATACACTCCATCACTGTCTTGCGAGAGGGGCGCTTTACACTACAGTTATAAAACTGCAACAATAACACCCCTCCTTCAGAGTGTAGACACTGTACTTCCCATCTCCAGGACTCAAGTCCGGCCTGCTGGTTTCCCTGAATTCCTTCATAAATGTTACTTTGCTTACACTCCAAAAGCACATTTGTCTCCATTCACTCCTATCAAATATGCTCACACATGCTTGCTGGAAGTTCAAGCCCCCTCACACACAAAACCTCCTTTACCCCCTCCCTCCAACCCTTTCTAGGCCGACCCCTACCCCACCTTCCCTCCACTACAGATTTATACACTCTCGAAGTCATTCTGTTTTGTTCCATTCTCTCTACATGTCTGAACCACCTCAACAACCCCTCCTCAGCCCTCTGGATAATAGTTTTGGTAATCCCACACCTTCTCCTAATTTCCAAACTACGAATTCTCTGCATTATATTCACACCACACATTGCCCTCAGACATGACATCTCCACTGCCTTCAGATATTTAGGAGTGGACGTGTCAGCAGATGGGTCTATGAAAGATGAGGTGACTCATAGAATTGATCAGGGGAAAAAGGTGAGTGGTGCACTTAGGAGTCTGTGGAGACAAAGACCTTTATCCATGGAAGCAAAGAGGGGAATGTATGAGAGTATAGTTATACCAATGCTCTTATATAGGTGTGAAACATGGGTGGTGAATATTGCAACAAGGAGAAGGCTGGAGGCAGTGGAGATGTCATGTCTGAGGGCAATGTGTGGTGTGAATATAAGTGGAGAACTCGTAGTTTGGAAATTAGGAGAAGGTACGGGATTACCAAAAATATTATCCAGAGGGCTGAGGAGGGGTTGTTGAGGTAGTTCAGACACGTAGAGAGGATGGTACAAAATGGAACGACTTTGAGAGTGTATAAGTCTGTAGTAGAGGGAAGGCGGGGTAAGGGTCAGCCTAAGAGAGATTGGAGGGAGGGGGTAAAGGAGGCTGTGTGTGCGAGGGGCTTTGACTTCCAGCACGCATGCATGATCATGTTAGATAGTGAATGGAGACAAATGGGTTTTAGGAATTGACGTGCTGTTGGAATGTGAGCAAGGTAACATTTATGAAGGGAGTCAGGGATACTGGCAGGCCAGACTTGAGTCCTGGAGATAGAAAGTACAGTGTCTGCACCCTGAAGGAGGGGTGTTAATGTTGCAGTTTTATAACTGTAGTGTGAATGTGCCTCTGGCAACACAGTGATGGAGTGAATGATAATGAAAGTTTTTCTTTTTCAGGCCACCCTGCCTTGGTGGAAGATGGCCGATGTGTTAATAAAAAATAAATAGATCTGGGTATGCATGCAGTAAGTTATAGAGTGTTATGCTTCTTTTTTTTGTTGTATTATGATTTGTTAAGTCAGGATAATGTTTATTATAACTTTTTTAAGAAAAGTTTCAACTCCTTAATTGATTTTTGAATTTCATGTAACTCTTTTCCAGTTTATATTAGAGCTGTGAGTAATCCTGTTATCTAAATATCCTTGTGTAGTCTGAATTTTATTCACTCTGGTGATATCTGTTATAATGAAAGTTTGGCAGTGATCTTCTGTATTATCTGTGAATTGCTTATGATTTAAGTGGAACAGTTATGTTTGTCCAAATTTGATTAGACATAAAACAGGTGTATCAGTGATTCATGTTGATTTAGTAATTGAGGACATTATCATACAGGAGCACATGCTATTTGCAAAGCTTGTATCTTGGTTATCATTGGATCAAGAAAGATTAATGTTAACCCTTTCAGTGTTGGTCCCTGAAGTCAGTGTCAGTCCTCTAATACTACACCAAAATTCTAGCGTTGTCCAATCTTGCAGGAGAAAGCTGGTAGGCCTACATTTGAGAGAATGGGTCTGAGTGGTCAGTATGCACAGTATAATAAAAATCCTGCAGCACACAGTGCATAATGAGAAAAAACTGCAACTGTGTTTTTGGTTTAAAACAGCAACTTTGTGGTGCATTTTCATATGGTATTTATGGTTGTATTCTTGTTTTCTTGGTTCCATTTAATAGAATGGGAGATATGTTGTAGAAATGGAGATGATTTTAAATGGTTTGCAGGCTAAAAGTAGGTTGAAAGTGAGCTCAAAATAGCAGAAATGTTCAATTTTTGCTGTTCAAGAGTAAACAAAACATGTCACACGTCCAATACACATTGACTGGTGGGTCTAAAGTGTATTCGTGAATGTGCTGATGTTATTTATACAATTATTACAATTATGCAGTATTCTGAATAACAGTAAATCTTCTATTTTTTGTGTGAATAAAAATTCTAAATAAAAAACAAGCATTATATAAGAGGGCCTTGGAGATGTGACTGATGAACAGAGAAAATGTTATTTTAGTCCCAGGAATGTCTGCATTGTTTATTCTGGACCCAATTTTGATGTTGGCTTTTCTTGAATTTTGTGTGAAATTGGCCAAATTAGTAATTTCTGATCAATTTTTTGGGGAGTTGAAATAGGTAAATGGGCATTTTCTTGTACTTAGTTAATAGAATAAAAGGAGTTCTAGCAAAAAAGCTATTCGGTTGGTCAAGTGGAGCAAAGGAATTGGCCCAAAATAGGGCTCAAACTGAGTGAAATTGCCAGTGCATAATATCAACTTTAGGAGAGTGTAATTCTGTAAGTTTTCCATCGAATTTCATACTTTTGGTTTCATTATCTTCAGAGAAAGATCATTTCATAAGAAAAAAAAAAAATTTTATTTTGCTTGAAAATTTTTTGACATTATGAGCAAGTTTGCAAACAGGGGTCTCGACACTCAGAGGGTTCAAGTTGCCAGCAATTATCAAGTGATTTTTCATTTTTAAGTTTGATACTTACTGTTACCGGTATGTATCTTATGAGGTACATCCAGGTAAATTTAATTTTCCATACTTACAATAAGATTACTAAGGTCACTGAAGTTTGTTTAGTTAGTGTTTGCAATTCTATATTGCTAGTAAAGCCATAAAAACATCTTAGAAAACACCGCAAAGTCAC